CAAAATATTAAACTTTCAAATTATGCAGCGCCCGCAACATATAACGTGTTAATATCATAAACCATGAAATCAAATAAATATATGCGACTCAAATGTATAAACTATAATAGTATAATGCACACATGAATGTTAGTGACTTAAAGTCTTTCTAAAAAACCATCATTGGCCCTGGATCATTGATCCCACAGGGTATGTGAACCAATTGTTGTTAGTGACAACCACCGTATAAATGTTGAATGATGTGATGTTTCAAATCCAAAGAGGACTGTTCAAAAAGTATTAGAAAAAATATTAAAAAAAAGGTGTTCAAAAGAAGTTCCGTGAACTATGTTGAGGATAGGGATTAATACCACATACATCCCCTCGAAAGGTGCACTCACCGTGAGGTAGTGGCTGTGATAAGCAGCCGGAAACGCTCTTTGTTGTTTGTTTGTTTTTTAAATGAAAACAGCTGTCAAAGTAAAAAAATAAAGGTTTTGCTGAAACAAAAAAATACCTTGGCCCCGGATTCCGACACTTTTGGGAGATGAGAGTGACATGGCTATGCGTTGGTGCTTCCTCCTAGGACAGTTGGGTGCTTGATATCCCACAAGAATTTGCACCTGCAATGGACTGGTGTGCCGCAGTGAGGCCCGATGATGCCATCTGCACCTCCCAGAAGTCACTAAAGGAGATCTCTCAATCAATTGTGTGAATGTTCGCTTCAATTATCCAATCATGTGCAGATGAAATAGGTCAACAGGGATTTGCCTATCACATGATTGGATAACTGAAGTGAATCTTTACACCCTTTTAGTAAATCTGCCTCAATGTCACTCCAAAGACACGCTGGTAGGTTAATTGGCTCCTCTCTAAGTTGGCCCTCTATGTATGTATGTATGTGAGATGGGGACCTTAGATTGTAAGCTCCTTGAGGGTAGGGACTGATGTGAATGTGTAACTATGTAAAGTGCTGCGTAAATTGCCGGCGTTATATAAATACCTGTAATAAATAAATGTCTCAGCATTGGATTCATTGTTGGGGAGATTTGTCTGTTCTTCTGTACCTATTGGGATGCAAGAAACCGTTGTGTCTGTGCACGGCGCAATATGTGTATGAGCCGGGATGAGCTTCGGGTTCGGGTTGAACATACGTTTGATCTGAACGCAGGTCACATGTTCTCTGGAAGCCTTCTGATGGGACCTTTTCATGGTTTGTTGCACTAAATTGTCACTTCACACATTGTACCGCGCTACGGACTGTGTTGACAGTTTTAAAAATAACGATATTACAGCAAATGGGAGATCTGGTCATTGGAGGATAATGAGAAATCCCAACTTCCATAATATATACATTATTTGTTGTTATTGTGATGGGATGAGACATACATGCTCTGGTTTGGTGGAGGCCATTTGGTTCCTTTTAAGCCCAGCTCACTATAAATTGTCTGATTATTCTGTCTTGTCATTATTTCCATGCTCTGCACTCAGGGCCGGCGCTAGCTCAAGGCAACATGGGCACTTGCCTTACGGCGCCAGGGAACAGGGCGGAAAATTGACAGTGACAGTCGCCCGATCGAGACCAGTGTGTGGGCTGCCGCTGCGGCCGGCGGGGACATGTGCGGCGCTGACAGAGGCTCCATGCACTGCACCCCCTCGCCTCTTTCCCCAAATATTCAAATATGAAGCTCCCATCAAACCAGTCTCAGCGCATCAGCAGTGCAAACCCAGCAATCTAATATTGTTTTTGTGTGATTTGTTTAAGATAATGAGCCTCTTGGGGACCCACCCCAGACCAGACTGTCACATCGGACTCGTATCGTATATTGTATATTGTATAATACAGCGCAATGGAGAATACC